CAGAGTCCAGGATAAAAGGAACAGGTATAGTATATGAAATCACAGATGCAACATGTGTGTGTTTTTAAGGCTGCAGTGCTTCCAGGGTAACAGCAGGAAGAGTTGACTTTACATTTCCATGCAGTAGCATCCCTAGATTTTACTTTTTGTGCTCTGAACAATATGTAGAAGTTCTGACTGCTGACTCTCACTGACTCTTGCTTGCGTTGCTATAGAAAACAATTAACTCCTTGTGGCCACAGTTTTACAGTTTTGGGCATTTCAATGACACAAGTTGCTTGCTGGTTGCATATCTCTGTTAGATCCTCCACAGATGAGGCTTCATTAAAAACACTAACAGGTTTTTACAGTGCCTTGTGAGCCAGTGCATCACTATTTCTGAAGCTCTTCTGCAGACAGAACTCCCTTTGAAGTCAATGGGAGTTCTGTCTGAATAAGGACTTCAGGATTTGAGCCTCAGGACATAAATACTGTGATCAATCTTTTGAGCATAATGAGTAACACTTTCTTGGCTTTCAGAACTACACTAAGCCTAATAGTAGCCCCAGGGATTCAAAATAGGTTGAACGGGAGAATCTGCTTTGTTTCAACCTACATCTTTATTGAGCTTTTAAATCACCATAGTCCCCACGCCTAGTACTGACCTGCCCAAAAAAATCTCCAATAATAAGACCAGATGTTTCAGTAGTTAGTTTTACAGTCAAACCTATCATGCCATGAGACTCTATGAAATAGAGCAGTGTTCAGTGAAAAACAAACATACTTGCAGTAGACTGACCTGTTTAGAAGTTGTGAGCTGAATGTACAGTCTGGAACAAAAGACTTGAAGGCTGAGACCTTTATTAATTATGTGACAGGGAGGTCTGTAGGCACTGATTTCAATCAGAACATCATAGTACCAGACACTGTGCAAACATCAGAATTAGCAATACAAAAAGTCGACAGTCCAGGTAGGCAAGACAGATACTCCCTGTCTCCCATTCCTTATAATTACACTGACTTTTTAGATGGAAAGTTCAGCTAGGGAGAGACTATGTGACTTACCAATACCTCTCACAAAGTCTAGAATGAACCTGCCAACCTCGTGCCTTATTGTCAAGACTACACTACTCCTTTCACACAATGATAACAGTGTATTACAGGACTTAAAAAATCATACCTTCCCATGCCTATCACAGCCTTGGCTCAACTCCAACATCCCCAGCCACTTCTCCCCCTTACCTGTGATGAGTGTTTTGCCAGTGCTGATTTCAGTGGCAACAAGTCTAGATCCGGGCATGGGATATGGGCAGCTGTCAGAGCAAGCAGCAGGGCATCAGCAGTGTGGAGCAGAGCAAAACTCTCCTGCATTTTCAGTCCTCACAGGCTATCATGCAACTGGATTAATGAAACAACATATAAGAGAACCAGGAGAAAAGACAGACTGAAACAACAGAAAGAAGGAAAAAAATATAGGAAATTCTTTTTCCCTGAATAGAGGTAAGAGCCTGAACATTTTAGAGGCTCTTACCTCTGTGATAACATGAGTGGAGATGCACAGGTGAACAGCCCAGTTCTTTTCTTGGAGCCCCAGGTCTCATGCTGGCCCTTTAGCGTTTTGGTGGTGGAAGTCCTGCAACTTCTGCTTGTGCCCACAGTCAGTGGAGAGTCTAAAAGAACTGTAAATACCATGTTGGTATGCAATGCAGTGGTAAAATACTGAAGTCTTCAGGTGTGCATATATATGGGACTGTCACTAGCAGACAGACAACTGTTTTGAAGAAGCAACTTCAAAGCTGATGAAGGAAACATAAAAAGCAATGTATTACCTGGAATACAAGCAATGGGACTCCCAAGTACAAGTTTAGCAGCTGGATGAATTTCTCCTCAGTATCAGTAAGATGGAGGAGAAGGTCTCCACTATCCACTATATACCAGCCCTGATACAGCTGAACCTACTTGAAGTTGTAAACAAGTAAAGTCTTGTCCAGCCTACAACTCACAGTAGTGATGTAAACAGTCTGCTGATTCAGTTGTACTTGTAGATGGTTTCCAGTGTTTGCTTCTTTGATTTCTTCTTTTGCTTTTGTTTTCTTTTTTACATCTGGATAATGAGTTCCCTTCCCTCTCCCTCCTTCAACAAGGTCAAAAACCCTCTGACTTCCCCAGTTTCTTCAAAGCCTTGGCTCTACTTCCCTGTGTGGATTTAATCCAGGTGCTAGGCTGGTTCCTCCCTAGACTTCTCCTTGTGATCCAATTCCTTATCTTTGTTCCTGATCTTGAGGGAAGAGGCAAAACAGCCAGCAAGGAGAGGCATGTAGCAAGAGATAGCTCAAGACCACTCAGCAGTTCAATTTGTCCACCTCAACGAAGAGGACAAAGTAACATATTTTTCCCTTCAAATATGGAAACGAAGAGGGGTTTTAGCTACAGCAAAATGGTTCCCTAAGTCTCCTCTACTTTCCCCTAGCGTATGGGTCCCTGCTCATCCCCAGTGAGCACAGAGATGCAGGGCACTCAGAGAACCCACCCCAGGGAGCTTTGAAGAGTCCCCTTATGCAGCCTACCACCACCATGGGGAAATGGGTGGGCACAGCATGGGCTGGCAAGTCATGAAAGACACAGGCAAGGGGATAGTCATGTGTGGCCACTGCGCAGCTGCCTCTGGGGTGCCCTGTGGGGCAGCCCCTTCATGAGCTGGTCAGATCACTGCTGTGTGATCCTAGCTGGCAGGGAGCTCTCAGCTTTTAGGATCCTAGAGTCTGAGATTGATTCTTGACAATTCTTTCACCCCCAGTTTGGAAACTCTAGGCAATGGAATTTGCTTGCTTATGCACAAAGGGAAGACTGCAACTTGCTTTTGTCTGTCCTGTTTGCACATATCTTTCTTGAGGACAGATATAAGAAGACGAAGCTGGAGGAGATGTTAGATGATAAATTCAGACACAATCATTTGCCAGAATACCCTCTTCCCTTGCATTTGAGGACTGTAGGTTAAAAAAAATATATATCATAAAAGGATGTATGTTAAGAACCTATCTGCACTATGAATTGTAACTGTGTTATAGATGGACATCCTGATTTGACACAGCATCAGCTGAGGTGGCCTCTGGGGCAGCACCACTAGAAACGAATTGTGGTCTCTGTGGAGCACTGGGAGCTAGGAGATGACATCACAAAATTAGCATCTTCCTGCTTGACATCACAGATGAGGCTGACAAGGACTCAAAGACTGCAGAATACGAATGAAACTTGTACTCCCACCAGCTGGGTCAGAAATCCAGTATAACACACTGTATATCAAATGGAAGAAGAATTCATCTAGGGAAAATAATTTCAGCTTTCTAAGAGAGCCTGAATAAGCCTAATAAATGTTTTTCTTAACGGGTCTTCATTGCTCTTGCTTTTATCTTCAAAAACTTGTATCTTCAACCAGTATAACACCAATGACTGCCTTTGTTTCTCATTCTTTCTGACAATGAAGTGAAACACAGTAAATGTGTTAATCAGAGTGCATTGCAGAGTCTTTGGACCAGTGCAACAGTGTTTCCCAGATGGAAACCCAGCTTAGAACTAGGTAAATGTTGCCTACCTGCATTAACTCTTCGTTGCCCTGCTGTTTAAGAAAATATCAGTGAAAGACAACTTGGGTTAGAGAAGCAAAAACTGAATTAAAAAATGGTCTGTTTCAGACTGCTTCCATCACCACATTTAGATCATTCTCTTCTTTGTGAAGCACAGCAGCTCCCTTGCAGCTGTACATGGATACAGCTTGTCTGAGCTTCCAGCTCAAGGGAAACAAACAGGTAAAGCATGTCCTCCTGACATGAGGAGTAGTCCTGTCTCTGTTCTCAGCTCTGCCACTAGAAGGGCATGACAGGGGTAAGGCACTCAGTGCCTCTGTGTGTCAGTCTTCCCCAGATTTCATCAGCTGTGGGTCTGTGGATGACACAGAGCTGGGATATGCAGTTAAGACAGAGGGGTGGTAGGACACAGTACAGGAGGAAAGCAAACTTGACAGAGAGCAGAAAAACAAATGGGGTGGAAGGTGTGGAGTACAAAGTGCAAGATGGTGCCCTTGAGGACCAGACCACCGAATCTTCTACAAACTGAGACCTCATCAATTGAGGGCAACTGCTGGCCACTTGTTAGAAGATGATGTACAAGGCAAGAACTCGAGGGGAAGGAACTTGAACTCAAGTTAAGGATGAGCAGTACAGTAACAGCCAAGAAAATTATTAAACTAGAAATGAGAAGAGCTGTGAGGTCTGTTGTGGTCTGCTAGCAAGGAAAGCTGAGACACCTATTCTACAGTAACATCTTTCAAAAAATAGTGCTTCATCAGTTTATGAAAATCAAATTCCCGTCCTGTGATCCTAAGTTCTGAAAACTTGAAATTACTGACTTTCAAACTGGTTATGAAAGGGGAACTGTTTATTGCCTATAGTAACAGAAGCGTTCTCAAGGATTACTTTGTCTGTAAACTTGACTATGGCAATGGTTGGAGTCTTACCTGTGTGTTTAAAATGGAAGGAAAAAATATGGAAGCATATGTCAGTAGGTTAGTAATATAAAATGGAACTAACTGGTCCAGTTCAATTGCTTATGGTAAACAAAACAAAAATATTTGAAAACCACAAGAAATAGACAGCTTATTTGATCTATTATATTATTTCAAAAGGTGTACCCTACCTGGTGCCTGACTAGCTAAACACAAACAAGGATTACATTTAAATATAAAAGCTTTATCTTACTAGTATTAGTCATCTTAAGATACTCACCCACTTGTTACCTGCTTCCAGGGGTCTCATTTTCCGTTAGTTTTTCAAAAGCAATTGTAAAGTAATTTCTTGACTCCATTAACATTATTTGTCCTGTTATTTTCCAACCAAATTCCATGATTTCTTTTCCAGACCTTACACAGTATTTCTGTCAAGAGCTCTTTTTCCAGGTGTGAATATATTTTTTATACATACATATATATATATATACACAAAGAACCCAAGGAAATATAACTTCACAGATTTTATTTTAATTCTAAGCAGCAAGTCACAAGCTGAGATTTGTTATACTTTAAAATACATATTTCAACTATGTGCCAAGCTCACTCTTGCTACCAAAAGGCATCTCAAACATGAAAGGGGAAGATCTTAGTTTCATCTACTACCAACTTTGAAAGGTAGTCTCTGTAGTGAAGAGTATCTGTTTCTGGATCTAGAGCAATGGAGAGCATTTCCTCCATTTCTTCCTCAGTAAAGGGCTCACCTGAAAGACAGCAGAGAATAACACTTTGTTTTGGTAAGTATTCTTTCCAGGATTGGCAAATTATACTGCTTTTCCCTTGAAAGAATCTCCTTTTGGTTCTCACATAGAGAAGAAAAGGAGGAAAACTAAGGATCTGATTCCTTCACTTTTGCCAGTGTAAGTCCTGCACACCAAGTGAGCCAGTCTAAGGAAAAGGAGGCAAAGGATCTGGATCTTCTGATCTTCTAGTTCACAGACTCCAGAACACCCTGTTCCTCTCTGCCACAGGGATTTTGAAACAACCATTTTTGTCAGAAGGAATTTTTCTAATGTGTATATTATTATTATCTGTCATTTGGCTATCCTTGCACTTGTATTTACATCATGAAAGACTTCCGGTTTTTCTCTTGTAGGGGCTTCTGGCCCACATCATCCCTCTCTGAGAACTAGGTTACCATCTGAGGTTTTGTACTTGAGGCAGGCATGCATGAGTCAGCCATGCAAGAAAAGCAGGCTCTTCACGGGATATTGAGGATTACAGGATGTACAACTTAAATCTTGCCCTTGAATCTCTTGGTTTGTGTACGGCTCTAGAATTAAGATCAAGATAATGGAGGAATGAATGAGCACTGAAACTACCTGAAACATCTGGAAATCTAAGCTACAATTTTACAGGAGGACAGAAAAAGAGTCGCATCCTTAGTAAGCACAGAGATGTGCACAAAATCATAACATATCCAGGTATGATTGAATTAATCATCATCATCATATCTATCTTATAATGTCTGTAAGCAGGCAGATAAATGTTTTTCCCTGCATTATTCACCAGTGAAATGTCCTAGTCTGCAGCCACTCATCACATTAACAGTATTGTTTGAAGACAAAAACCGCAGATTTTGGCACACAGACTAAGGACCTCAAGGTGCCATATATAATTGTAATGCTTTTTACTTAAATACTGATATTACAGAAGTCATGTTACCTTCTTCAGTCAAATATTTGACCAGGTCCTCTTTAGTAATATATCCACATTTATTCTCATCCAAAGCCTTTAAAGAAAAATAATAAAACTTGTTTTAACCATATTGTATCAAGAAGCAGCAACTTCTTCCAAACAATTAGGTACTTGAATATTTAGTTACAGACCTCAAATGCATGTAGAAGAACATCTTCTCGAATAGGCCAGTAGCTGAAACCATTGAATCAGAAAAGTTAAGTTACTGTTTGCCAGTGTTCTGAAAGAACAAAACATGAGGAAAAGGAAAACTTCCTTTCTATGACAACTTATTAAGTTTTTCTATCAAACATTTAATTGGAGCCTGACTTTTTGGAACTGTCCATGTATTTAACTCTTTTGTCTTTTGTTGTACTACTGTTTAACTTCCCTTGTGCTGAGGAGCCAGATGAATGGCTTCTGCATGTCTGGGCTGGCTGAGTGGGTTAGCAGGAGTCAGTAACAGCTGAATCACTCACACAGCCAATGCACTGCACAGAAGATGGCCAAACCAAGAAAACAAAGTTTTGTCCAGTTACACTGGTAGCTAGGCAACAGATCACCTGTGGGACTTGGGCAGTCTAATGAGCTGATGATGAGCAAAGGAGGCTGGTAGCTTTAAAAGAAAAAGTCTGTCACTAACAATTTCAGAGAGATGGGAGAACTGGGCACATGCGTGCATGCATATGCGTGCTTGATTTCAGAGATGGAAAAGAAGCTCTGTGTAGCAAAGGAGAGCTTCCGTATCCCAACAGACTTTCACCAACCCCCCAGAATACTAAATAGAAGGAGCTGAATCCAGGGAGATTCTAAGTGCTTGATTGCTTTGCCCAGACCCGTCTCAGTCTTTTACTATCTAAAAATCAAATGTTCTAAGTAGTAGTCTTGGTTTTTATGATCCAAATCTCATGTACCCTTGGACAAGTGAACCATGGACAGAGTGCCCCAAAAGATAAAGTGGGTCTTGATAAGCCTGAAATAGCCTGGGGAAAGCATGTAGGGTTTTGTGGTTTTTTGTGGAGAGGTTGTGGAGGAGGAGAAGAGAGCCCAGAGCAGCAAGGCATCACTGTGTGAAAGGCTGAACATCAGTGTGGATATTTCATGTCTAGAACACCCTCCTACCAAAGGCTCTCTGTGTGCAAAATAACTTCTCGGTATTGGACAAGACAGAGTTTTTCAAAAGCCTTGACTACCATCTGTAAAAGGAAATTAATCTTGCTGTAAGTAATCTTGCTTTAGCGCAAATGTCAAAATAGCACAAGTTCCTGTGTACATGCAAAGACTTCCATGCACCTTAGTATAATGAACAGTGGTTTTGTTTGAGACTTTTAGATCAGCAGTCTTTTAGAGTGCTAGTTGTATACATTCAGCTGTACCTGGCTGTCACTTTGAGACATGAATATGAAGCTGGTTTACACAACTTATTTAAAATACACTGTAACAGACTGTGCTTCTCAGTAACTGTGACCCATATGTTCAGAGAAAGTAATAGTTATGACCTTAATTTGCATATGAAACATTTTAGAGATACACAAAACATGTTGAATAGCAAGTTAATTCTGATTCCCATTGAAAACACAAAAGCTACATGTTATCACAGTTCATGATTATAAACTGGTATTATTTATATCATCAGTAAAACACAATTTTATGTAGACAAAGTAATTTTGAAACAATATCTAGCTAATGTAAACTGATCTTAAATGACAAATAAAATCTGTACTTCTTCCAGTTATATAAAATTTCTGCAGATATATTTATTCAGAATCAACCCTGTCAATATGGAATAAAGTACAGATACATAAAATTCACTTTCCATTACCTTCTGTCAAGTAGTACTTTTGTCATCACTGGAAGAAATTTTTCCATATGAATGAATCTGGTTGCTTCTTCATCTGCTTCTTCTTCTACTAACTAAAAACAAAACTTAAGTATCGCCGTGTATATGGCTCATTAGCAAACTGATACAGAAAAACAGATAACTGGGGTAGTCCTTGCATTAAAACTACAGAGTTAGACTTTGAATATTTATATCAAGTCTTTAATATCACAGGGCACCATAACATCTGAGTGAAATGCTTGTGATCAAACAGAAGGAAATTCGAGGAAGAAATAATATCCCAGGGAAAACACAGGCCCGCTATTATAGACACTTCCAACAACTCAAGATTGCCCTCTTGTGCTTCAAAACCATTCTTGCAAAGTAACCAGACACCATGTAACTGATCTTATCTTCCACAATAACTCAGCAGAGTTTTAAACGTTCAGACTGAATTCATACCAGTAAAGTCTATCAGGATCTGGAACATTCCCAAGCAGTGTAATGTGACCACCCATTACAGCAAACCATGAGTACATTCCCTGGCATGACTTTGGCCTGTGCCTCCCAATATTCCCCTCAGCAGATCCTGGCTGGGACCTTAAGGGCTTTTCCCCGGAAGGATACTTTGTGCAGCCACTCTGCATAAAAGATTTACCGGGGTAGACACAAGCTACTCTGTGCCAGCTGACTTCAACACCCAAGGATGTTTCTGGTCATATTTAATGGGCTAGCTTGGACATAGCCCCAGTCTAGTACACCTCAAGGATGGAATTTGTTGCCTCTACATATTTCATAGCCAAAGAGAGTCATCAGGACCAGAGAGCCAGGCAGACTGAGTCAGGGCAGTCCAAAAGAGTCATAAGGCAGCCCATAAAATGCTATACACAGAAAATCTTCCTTTTGCCTCTCAAACAAATTAACAGATTAATCCCAAAACATCAGGGACTTCTAGCAGCATTCTCACTGCATTCCTATACTTCCACAAGAGATAAGAAACATGGTAAAAACCGCTCCCTGTCATCAGGGTGCATCCCTTTCCTGGAAATTTCAAGTTTTTCCCTCACAAGGAGCCCTGTTAATGGAGCTAGCCTGTTCCTGTCTGTGTTGAAACTGGATGCATGCCTTGAGGTCTCACATGGCAGCAGCCAACACCTTGCTAGGCTCTCCGAGACACAGCTCGGATCGAAGGAAAGCTCAAATAGGCACTGATTTGAAATCTTCTAACTGAGCCAGGAAACAGTATGGAATCTTCCTCCAGGGAGCTAGATCGGAGCTGGGGTGGTTCCTGATATATCCATTTGCTTAAATGGAGAGCTGCAACTGCTGCTGAATGCTCTTCTACAGTGTTTTTGAAGGGGCTTGGGCACTAAGAGAAGACAGCCGTCACCTCTTGCTTTAGAGTGGAAATTGGCTTGTAAAAACACATTTTCTCTTCTGTTTGGTGAGCCTAGTGAAGGGATCTTTAGCGAGGAAATGAAGCTGTTCGTGCTATATCAAATGGTACCTTTTACCATTACAGAATCATGTGTATTACTGCTTGCTTGATTGAAAAGATGTAAAAAATACCTAGCAAAACCTAGTCCTGGGAGGTGATCAGCAACCTCACTTTCCTCTGAGGATGAAAGAAACAGCTTCCCTTTCGGAGGCTCTACAGGCCCAGAAACATCCTGAACAGTTAAAATTAATCCTATTTCTAACAATGGATTTATAAGTGGATAAATTGAATATATTAACTTTGCCTAAATTATTAAGTATTGGGATTTGCAAGTATATGTATCCTCTTACTCTTTCTCATGCTCACTCCTGTTCTACACCTCATTCCTCATTATTGTTTTCCTTTTTTCTGTAATTTCTCCTTTTTTCACAATAACAGTATTTGCATGTTCACTGTGAGTTTTGCTCTATTTCTTTCCTTTGGGCTCATCCATAGCTCCCATAACAATTGTATTGTAGCACCCATTATGTTTTGTATCTCTACTCTCACACCCATACTATTTCTGTCCACACAACACTGGGGGACTTGAGTCACAAAGAAACAGGCAGAGCAGTGTACTGAACTCCAGACATTGAAATGATCCTTAGATTAGCTTTTACCATCTCTAGGCTTATCATTTAATCTTAAAATTGTAAGTAGGCCTAAGGATATGATGTTAAGTATAACACTGAGTATAAGGCAATATAGGAGACAGTAATGATAATTTGTAGAGATAATTATATGAACGATGATTTTACAGATATGAATAATCTGATGGCAGCATACACTTGTTTAACTACAATAAGGCTAATAGGAAGATCAGATGACTGAGAGGCACAAGTAGTGAGAAAGAGCAACAAATCACCATTTACAATGGGCAACAATACTGGGGAAATAGCTTAGTTACAAACCAGCTAACAGACACAATTTTTACTTTATCTAGATTAAGATGAAATGGTATTACCATAGTCAATTATAATGGTATCTTATATAAACTAAGAGGTATTTGTGATTATCATAATATATGAAGGATTCTACAAGAAGACAGTGTTCTTCTAGTACTAAACCTATGCCAAGATTTCACTTAGAGGCACTGTTCTTTGCTATTTGATTTCCAGTTCAGTGTTCTTTAAGGTTAACCATTACTCTTGAATATACTCTTTATTTTTGCAGTATTTGTACTTTAATATCCTTATAATCAACATTTGCATACAGGTTACAGTGTTATATCTCAAGAATCATCTGCCTTGTGGGTGCATTGCTTTGTACCTTGTTATGTATTACTTATCTCAAATTTCAGTACTGTTCAAAATGGGTAAAAAACCAATGTCCAATCTCTTTGGAAGGCCTTAAACTCTCCTGATTCTCCTGAAATTGAAGTGGGTTGTCAAAGTATCCCCTTCCTTTTCACAATTCTATATCTTGAGTCAGTTGTACTGTTCATTTGCTGTAAAGAAAAGTTACTGTGGGACACTAAAAATATAATCTACATTAAGCACAATAATTTCCACTTTGCCTTGTTTGTCAGTGGAAGCTGGGACTATCTGGTACTGAGAGTACAGATCCAGAGCAGACAGATTGCAGTATCATGTTAAAAGAGCTTTCTCCTCTGATGGTTCTTTGCACTTCCTCATCTGAAGCAGCTGTGTCATTTTCACAAGACTTAGCACAAGATTTGTCACACTAAATTCTGATCTACAGGAGACCAGACAAGCCTACAGAGGAGAGACTACTACTGCAACCATCCAAATTTTTGTTGCTGCAGGAAGAAAACAGTAAGAGAGATCAATTCTCAGTATACTGAGCTACACATGAAAAGGAGAAAAATCCTTACCCCACCTCTCAGCTCCAGCATCATCCACTCCTTAAGGCAGCCCATTTACAAAAAGAATGTGGAGACTTTTTCCCACTTTTTCATCCCATCTATTAGCCATACCCTGCCAATGCACCAGCACATCATCCTTTCTATTACAAGCATGCGGTAAGGAGACAAAAATTAGTATAGGAAAAGATTGTGGAGAAATGTCATTGAATTTCCTTACCACTGCATATCAGTGAGAGAATGGGAGGACCACTAGGTCTTGTGGAGTTTTATGTCCTGAAGCCTGATTTACAGGCTTAAGTAATCAAGGTTACTTACGTATAACTGAGAAATCTCAAGACTGGGAGACACCTCATGAAGGACAGAAAGTAGAAAGGTCTGGCTATAAGACAGCAGTAACCCAGTGAAAAAAAATGGCCCACCTTCCCTCTGTGTATTTTTGTAATTTAACATCTTCTCAAGAACTAATTTTTATTACCTAATCATGCACCGTGTGTCCACTGCATGTCCTGAAGAGTGAGATGGTTAGTGTTTAGAGATCCTAATCTGACCGAGGTTTAGGACATTCTTTTTCATCAGTCAAAACCAATTTTTGTCCATTTTCTATAAATGCTCCTTCACCTTAGCACAGTGTCACAGTGATCCTCTGGGGTAATAGAGAGTCAAAGACTACTCATTTTAACCCATCAGCATTGTTACTTCATCAACCTAAAGGTTTGCTTCAGGGCAACCTGAGAGATTGCCTGTCTGATTGAAACACTTCCATGACACTTCCAACATCTGGGAAAAGAACTTGAGTTTCCCACTCAGCAAGGCAGAAGGACCAAACTTGTGCAAGTTTAAGACTGAAAAAAATACAAAAGATCTAACCATTTACCTTTGCAAGCAGTTCACGTAGTTCTGCCTCACTTGGGAAGCAACCCAGTGACCTGACAATGCAACCAATATCTCTGAAAGAAAGAACATCTTTGTCAATAAGTCTGCAATACAAGAGTGTCTGTGGAGAATCCAGTTAAGAGTTTGCATGTAGGAATATGCACGTACAAGCCCAAAAGTATGCACAAGAATATGCATGTGGAATTTCAAGATGATGTTTCAGTAACCAGTGTCTATTTTTACAGACATTAAATACTCTGGAGCTCTTTGAAAGAGTGCAATTGTTCTTGTGACTTTCCCAAAAAATTCTTTACCACTGTGTTGCAGTGTACTGTGTGAAAGTTAATTTTCAACTACTGTTCTCTAATTGTTAAGCTTTATTTCAGTAAAGTCTACATTTATATAGTTAACAAATCACTTGGAAACACGCTGAGATGAAAGGTAACAAATAAAATACATGTGTACATTAAATGCTATAAAGATACAAATTCTAACTGCATTAAAGAACAATTACAAAAAGTCAGGAAGGAGACAGCCCTGCTATGTCCCTACTGTGCTCTGAAACAGTCAAACAGAACAACAAAGTGGCTTATCCCCACTCTGTTTATGCTGCAAATATATTCATAGCTTGCATCTACTGCTGAACCTGGTGCAGCTGTTCTGAGGCTCTAAAAAAATTCTGAACAAACTGGCAATGCCTCAAAATAATTTAAGATGAAAAACATCACAGATTAGAAACAAAAGTACTGTAAAGCTGTAAAAAAGCTTTAGTGAGATTCACAGTACGATTAAAAACAGAATAACAGAAGCATCACTATTGCTTGTGATTTACATTCCAATTCAACAACACAGAAATTTAAGTACATTTGAATATCTATTCACAGTCCTGGTGGTTCCCATAATCCAAACCTCTGTGGTTTCTTCATCTTGACCAGTGGTGAATCCTAATCCTAATCCATTAGGTGGAAAAATCAGATTGCCTAATAAAAATGGTAGATACAAGGAGCAGTGACCTTTGTAAAATCTTACAACAGTAAGGCCCTGAATGTGGCACACCAAGTCTTTGACCTCCTCAGACAGGACCCAAGGAGTTCCCATTCTGATTGAAAACATGTGAGAAGCACTACAATAGACAGAAGAGAGGAAAAGGCTGGACAAAACTAGTTACAAAACAAAACCCAATCCCACACATCCAGTTGTTATGAAATGAGACCATCTACTCAAATGACTCGGTGAAACTCTGCCTCTGTGGATGCAAATGGCCTTTGGTGTCAGGGGGGTCAGTCATTTAGGCATAATCCTTGTCCATCCATCCTATTTCTAGTATGTATATACTGCATCTGTTGTTCTCACTCCTGCACTCCCTCACCTTTTCCACCTAAAAGATATTTCTAAGTATTCCCCGCCTCCCCTAGAGGAACACCCAACACAAATCCTGCCTCATTCCTGTCCCACACTATTTCTACTCTCACAGATGCCAGAGATGGTAAAGCTGCCATCACCCTCCCGCCTCACCTCATTCACAGCCAGCAAAACTGTGATGTGACTAAGGTAAGCCAGGCCCTAGAAGAGCCTGCAAAATCTGGCATTCCTGGTGCTGTATCTGGCAGTCTGCATGCCTGCCAACATGAGGATGTTGTCTAAAGTGACTGTGGTGAAAAAAGTCAGGTTCCATTTGGTAATAATACAGAGTTTAAAGAACCCTGACAGGAAACTGTATTTTGCTCCCAGCCACTTCCTCTCAGTTCAAAAGCTGCGATTCCTCCTGTTTAGTTTCTAGAACACAAAAACAACATCTAAAATCAAATTCATGATCATACAAGTTTTATAACACAGAAACAATAAAATTTTGGGTCATTGTTTTTGCCCTACATATAACACTTTCAATGGCAAGATTTGCAAAATCATAGAAGTCCTTGACCAACAGTATGTTGTAAGCAGCATGAAACAATATTATATTCCTCATTCTTAATTTCTTACTAATTTGAATTTGCATCAGGAGTCATGCAATGCCAATGTTAGCCCGTCAAGCCAGTGTAATTTTCTGTGTTCTTCATGGGTATCTGATATTTCAGGCAATAAAATTCATATATGTACAACAGTGGTTAAGAATTGTGCTGTGCTGCCACCTTCTGATACAAGATAATCGGTTATTAATAATCCCATTATTGTGATACAGCCCTGCAATATGAACCTAGGAATAATTAGACAATAAACTGTTGTTCATTGTCTGTAACTGTACTATGATAAAAATTAACGTGAAATTGTGCATTTACTACGTTAAACAGACTTTTGGATGTCTCCTGTCTGAACGAACACATTTTTTAAAAGTCTATTTGTATCATTTCATTGTTGTAACATTTTATCAAGCTGTATATCCATGATATAATAGAGTGAGGAATGTAGAAAACTTTACAACTATTTAGCCGAGACTGCAGATGTAAATGGCAAACAAATAAGCAATGAGTATGTGCTGATGCAGTGAGGGCTAGGGGCTCCCCAGGGCTGGGGATGGTAGTGGTGGGGGTTCTGCATAGGGGCCAGGCAGCCAGGGCCCAGCCAGGAGCAGGGCATCTGGGGGGCACTGGGGCAATTCCACTTCTGGGATCAAGTACCTCCCTGGGCATGGGCCAAGAGATGTAAGATCATTCTTCCCTAAAGAGCTCTATGGACAAGGGAACAGCAATTATACTGAGTGTAGAGATATATCCTGAAATTCCCCCTATCTAGTATAGCAGAAAAATCATTACTTCTATGAAGTACTGGCAATTTCTTAAATTTAGAGGCACTAGTAAGCATGCATTCCTAAAACCATCACATAAATATTTTGCATCTCTCTCACCTATGCTCTAGAATGTAGAAAAGATGTTTGAAACATTTAAAGATATTTTCCAATTTGGCTTCATGAAGAACGTTTAATGACAACAATTTCACCAGTTTTCACACTCCTTTGTAGTGTTTATGCTCAATAACTGGTTTATAATTAAAAGCTCTGGTGATATTCTTTTAAATGTAGTAATTGGAAATATGAAAAATTACTCCAGTAAGCTTTTATGACAACAGCTTATAGCAACCTGCTCTGTGAGACATAAACATGTAATTTATGTATTTTATAATAAATGCCATAGTTATGTCTAGGAATGCTTATATTAAAATGAAGTTTAAGTAGCATTGCCAAATATTCAAACTTTAAAAAATATCAGAATTAAGATTATTGAGGAATTTTTAAATTTGACATCCTTTAGCTCTGTATCTTGTAGCCAGTTATGCCTTGATCAGTCTAGCAGTCCATGTTTTTATCTTCCACTGAACTTCTACCCCCCTTGCTCAGACATATATTTTGTATGTTTTTCCATAATGGTGCATGCTAAAGGTATAGTGCATGCAGTTCTCCTTCCAGACTCCCACCTGTGCACTCTACTTCCTCAGTTCTGGTCATTCCATTTCAAAAAGGAGAAAGCTGAACATGAAGAAGCACAAAAAAAGAATGGCCAGAGCTATGGAATAGCATCTCCTAAGAGATTGAACACATCTGGACCCTTCAGCCTTAAATTACTGTGATGGAGGACAAATGTGACGGCCAGGTATGAAATCATTAACGAGAAAATTAACAGAGAACAAATGTTTGCTATTTATCATAGGATAGAAAAAAATAAACCAGAGGCCACTCAAATCATAATGCACCAGATGTACAAAACCAACAAGAAATACTGCATATTTGTTCAATTCCTTACATTCCTCCCCTAGGAAACTACTGATAGTTCAACTGAGGGTACTGGGCTAAATAGACTTTTAGTGCAATCAAGTATGATCATCTTTATGTTAATTTTTATATTACTGTTGTTGTTGTTATCATTATTATTATTCATAAATAAATTATAGGCAAGTTTCTCCCAAGTCTCCTAAAACCACCTCCCTGCCAAAGCAACATCCACCTCCCACATTACCCCAGAGGAAGGATGCATTTCCACTGAAGACACCTACTGAGTGCAGGTAACTCTGACACACACACTGGCAGGGACACCCCTTGATGTGCTGAAATACCCTAAAAGTGAGGAGTTTCATAAGGATCCAGGTCCTGTAGTGCCAAATGAGCTATCAGAGAGGGGATTTATTTACTAGCACTAATTGTGGCCTCAGACCTCTTGCCTAGCTGCAGCTTCCTCTTGCCCCATTGCACCACCAGTCCCAGCATTCCTCTCTCAAGCCAATTTCAACCAGTGAACAATACAAAAAATATCTATTAAACCAGCAAAGACAAACTTATCCAATCACGGCCAAAAGGACTGATTACAAAAGGGCCAATTACATTTTCTGGAAAAGCAGATGCTGGTTTAGGGAGGCAGGACCTGTGACCCCATGGAGAAGACGAACCCACGCTGGAGCAGCCTGTTCCCAAAGGACTGCAATCCATGGAAAGGGACCCATGCCAGAGCAGTTCATGAAGAATTGCACTTCGTGCGAAGGACTCACATTGAAGAAGTTCATGGAGGACTGTCTCCTGTGGGAGAAACCCCACTGCTGAAGCAGGTGAAGAGCGTGAGGGGTCCTCCCCCTGAGAAGGAAGGATTGGCAGCTACAACATGTGATGAACTGACCCCCATTCCCTGTCTCCCTGCACCACTGCGGAGGGGAGGTAGAAAATCAGGAATAAAGTTAAGCCCAGGAAGTAAAGAGGTGGGTGGAAAGCTACTTTTAAGATTTGGTTTTACTTCTCATTATTCCTATTCTGATTTGATTGGTAATAAATGAAATTGATTTCCCCAAGTCGAGTCTGTTTTTCCTGTGACAGTAATTGGTGAGTGATCCCTGCCCTTATCTTGACCCACAAGCCATTTGTTATATTTTCTATCCCATGTCCCACTGAGGAGAGGAGTGATGGAGTGGCTTTGGTGGGCACCTAGTGTCCAGCCAAGGTCAACCCACCACAGACATACTTGACCAAACAGGGCCAAAAGGACTATTTCAATGACATTTTCTGGTAAAGCAGATGCCGGCTTAGGGAGTTATTTATCTCTATATTTGATCCTGCAATATTTCTTTGTGAATATATTTACAAACCTGGCATCCACAGTTTTATTGCTTTCCCGGTCAAACACCTCAAAAGCTTCTCTAATCCTTTTCTCAATTTCAGCTACTCTGCCATCTGCAAAGAGAAATATAAGAAAAAGAAAGATTCACTGTGCTGTTGCAACTGATTTATTTCCAATTTGAGACTTGCAACAGCAGAAGCACCAAAACTGATAAAGGGGCAGACAGGAAAGCAGAAGTTATTCTGAAAAAAAAAACCACTGTAAATGCAGAATCTCTCATTTTGTATTAGTAATATGGCCTTGCTGTGGCTCTGCAGCCATATCAAGTCTGGTGAAAATGGTGTGCCTGAACTGCATGATCAGAAGGCTGCCTAGGTGTGGACCCTGCCCAGAGTGTGCCACAGCTCCCTCTGGACCACAAGTCTGAGCCCCTGCTGGATGCCATGGTGTCAGTGGAAGGAGAAAGGCAAACATGGGCCCAGGCTTGCCCTGAGACAGGGCTGAGTCACTTCATCCAGGTTCCTGCATCCAGGGAAACATAAGTGCTCTTATGTCCACTGAGTTAGTCATAATGCATGAAAAGCTGAGAACCAGGGATAAAGAGATGGCTAAGATACGTGCACAGTGAATACGGCTCATGGTAAATAATTTATTGTAACAGTTTGGAAAAGAAGACAATCTCAGCAAAGGGGAAGGAGTAATTTGCTGCATTTCCTTTTCATATCTCAATCTCAAGGAACAGGGGAAGAAGAACCACAAGTTATCACAGATATATCTTGTATAAGCCAGAAATTGCATTTTTGGGGCAAAGTACCAGGAAATAAATTCTGAAGAAATAATGTAAAGAGAGGAAAGGGTCTATCTCAAAAGAAAAACTCCTTGGCAAGAAAACCGGGGTATATAAGGAGTGAACTGGTTAGCCATTTATGAATATTTGACTCCAAGTGAGAGAATATGGGAAGCAAAGTCACATGGAGCTGAACTTTTGGTTCCTGTGGCTAAATACACCCCCAAACTCCAAGTGGCAAACCAGCTCATGAGGCAGCATTTTTTGAGCTAGCCCCCCAGCCTCCACAGTAATGCCACAAGGAAAATCTGTGTGACAGCCAGAATTAGACTGGTATGAGGGACACTTGTTTTCTCGTTTTCATACTTCTCTTCTGTATCATCAACATAATAAGTAAAACACAGCTCTCCTCTAGTAGACAATTTATTTTCTTCTTTAGCTGATGTGGTGTTAAGGTCTGTTGAGCAGCTCTGACCAACATTAAGCCACTGGACCTTTTTTCTACAGACATAAAAAATTCATACCTAGTTTTCTACAATCCCAATAGTAGGGAATCCTTGGGGCTATAGTGTGCAATCAATTTTTTCATTTGATTTCTTGCCCTCATGATAGAAATATCTTTCTGCTGGCAAAGGGTGTCAGAACTGACCATAGTTGAACGAGACATTGGCTTTGTGATCTCCCTCTCTTTATCTTGACCCATGAGCTTTTTCATCATATTTTCTTCCTCTGTGCTGTTGAGGAAAGCAGAGAGAGGCTGGGTGGGTGCCTGGCAGCTTGCCAAGGTCAGCCCATCACAGGCTGCAAACAGTTCAGTACAGCAGTGGATTGAACCAGCTATAAGGAACCTCTTCTTCATGTAGAAGAGAGGTGCATCCCCTTATAAAGCTACAGCTGCCTGCTGCTTTCCATCTGTGTTTGGCACTGAACTCCCCAGAGAATACGTAAAGAGAAGAGAGGTATGAATATATCCTGTATTCGTCCCTTGGACTTTATTGCCCTGATGGAAGCATAGGCAGGTACTCGTACAATGGATTGGAGACTGGAGCTCACTGAGGAAGAGCCCTGTCCAGTCCCTGATGCAGGACAAACTGTATTCTTTTCACAGCTTGACAGTAATGCCTATGTTTTCTGTGCCTAAGTGCCAGTAAGAATGCAAACCGAATTCTTTTAAAAAACCCCACAGTTCAATCCAAGTGGACCTGATTCCTTGTAGAGAAGTCCCTAAAGACTCTCAAACTACTAAATTTTAAGGTTTTTTTCCAGTGACTTCAAAGAGTCTCAGATCTAGCCTTCAGTGTAGACTTGGAGTTTAGTTCCTGAGATCAGGCCCTTCAGCTGTATACTACGATTTGCAACAGAGAAATGCTGGAGGAAAATTTATAGCTGTATATTCTGGTCTTGATGTGTAAGCCTTCTGTAGAAATAAAAATTAGGCAAGGGAAGGCAGGGAAAGATTTTAAGTACTGGAACCATGTAAGCATCCAGCCTTTTCAAGCTTTTTTCAGGAAAACAGGGTACATTAATCTTACCTGTTTCAAGAGGCCTGACAAACAAAGGTCCTGAAATGAAATGAACTTGATGATTTAATCTAGGTACCAGATAATCTATATTTCTTCCAAGAACTCAGAGAAAGTTGTTGATTCAAGAGCCATATCCATGGAAGAAAACATAGTATACTGTATTCCTCTCAAAAACTCTTGGTGAGATGAGTAAACACCTAATAAGCTACTGCCTAAATCTCTCATCTTCCCTCTAGGAATGAAAGGCAAATATGTTCAGAATAGTTCAGGATGGCAAAGCTAGTTATCTGAAGACTTCTATGATTCACTCTAAACCTCCCTTTGGGGGGGAGAAGAAGATGGATTCCGGTTTTAGGATAAGAAAAAGATAAAGTTTTAAAATTATACCTTCAAGAAGGGCACAAGAAATCAGATATGCAGTTAACTCAGCAGATGTGATGCTTTAATGTACTGAAATTTTTCTATACAAAGAGACTCTGCACCATGGGTAGATCAATGAAAGTTACATGTTGCCCTGTGGAACAATGTTTTATCTGTTTTTCAGGACAGAAATACCTACACCTTGATTGAATAAAAGACTTCATTCACCTATTCTACTAACAAGAAAAACAATATACATATCAAAGATAAAATTATTGGACTACTTCTAATTGTTTAAATAAATAAATATTGAAACATACCATGCTACAAAGGATTCTAATACCTACAAATACTTTCCTCAAATGAGTCCTGTAGGGATGATATATTATTTCCAATTCTGTGCTGCTGAAATGCTTCAGATATTTGTCATTGTTGCCTCATTCTAACGTATCTTCCTACCACCTATGCAAAAAGAAGACAAAATGTCTTAAAATCTATTCCTCAGACACATTAACTGAAAGTGTATTCACTATCAGTTTTCTTTCCTGTACTATCCTTTGCTATTTTCCGTTTGTTTAGTGTGAACTAGATAAAGCTCTAGACACTGTCAGTTAAGTAAGAATGACAGGGATCTGGGACTCCCAAATCAATTCTTGTCGTTCTTTCAGATTGAATTGCTCCTCTTCAGCTTGTGCACACTATTGCCCAGCACTCTGAGGCCCACTTGCAGCCAGCCCTTAAGCAGCACACCTACCTCCGTTGTGACATTTCTTCCTCAAAGACTACACTTAAGTCTTTGTAGGGAACAGAAGCCATTAACTGGATGTGGCTCTGCCAGACTCTTGAGTAATGAGGATTTTAAAAGGGGATTTCTAGTTGATGCAATTTGCTAGATTCTACCATTCATTTAACTGTATGAGCTTGCTGTCTTTCCTTTTCTGGGCCAGTTGCTCTGATGGTTCAAAAAGCTAACCTTTCCTTTCACTGAAGAGAAATTATGTGCAGAAAAAAAGACTTATCATAAGAACAGGTAGCCCAACATTAAACAACCACTTAACATGCTGGGGAGCAGCATCTGTCTGCTGCTCACAGGAAAACATTTAGTCCCTGTGCCGCCTGATGAACCTATTAACCATTTACTGGAACTCTTTCGTGCTATGTAAAGAGTAAAATTAAGGGTTGATTTGTAGAAGCACCAGCAGACTTGATTTTATTACTTAGTGTTACTGCTCACACACCTGACACATTTAGTCTTTTATAAACATTAATCTAAGCATATTTTAATGAATATAGTCAATTTTATATTTAAACTCCTCTGTGTATGTGGACACCTCACTAATTACTCCATCCTCTCTTCATAGTATTATATTATGGTTACGAGGAGGTGTGAGGAAACCCCTGAGGTCTCTGCTGACAGGAACCCTTTCTCACATGGGGCTGACTTGTGGAACCAGTCAGTCTGAAAGGATAAGAGACACAACCAGGCAACTCCAACTCAGTGGCAGGTAGTTTAGAGTCATTTGCATGTTGTTGTTCCAGTTTTACTTAAAGTGCTGTTAGCAACAGCTCTTTTGTAGATCTCTCATCCACTAACTGGGGCTTATCAGCACAAAGTACAAAACCATATCAGTGGCTATATACTACAGTACCACTTCTTCTCTTTTCCACTAACCATTATTTCAACAAAAAAAGTGGCCAGTGACCTTGGTCCTGTCAGCTGAACTGGGAGTGAAATACAAAGAGTGCCATGATGTAAAAGGAACATTTTTAAGAAGATGATGGACACAGAAGGGGATGTTTCTATGCAGTCAGCCATACAAAAAATCTGAGTCTTAAAGCCTCCTGCAATCTGCACTCAACTTCAGCAAACCTTCTCTTTCTGCTCTTTTTAACCACCCTCCCCACACTGCTCTAACATTCTTCTGTAAGGCCCCTATGGCCACCCTTTTTAGGATAAAAGAGATGAACTGAAAACTAAAAGAGATTTGTCTTTGATGTTTGCAGAAAAAAAAAAACAGTAAGAGATTTCACAATTCAAACTCTGAGGTTATTAATTAGCTCTTACGAGATCTAACCAGAATTTTAAGCAAGTTCTAACTGGACTATTACCTAGGTCAAGATATTAAAGAGCTGTCACGATACTCAGCACCACCTGTACAGGTGAAATCTCAAATACTTTCAGATAAACTCATCAGTTTTATCAAGGTGTTGTGTTTCCAGAACAAAAAGGGAAAGCCAATGTTGTGTCATAACAAATTCTTGGTGATGGTATCAGTGTAAGGTGTTCCCATGCCACTGTTCTCTTTCCTAGATCCAAAGCAAAGTATACAACTCCCTAAATTTTTCTGCCACAAACACTTGCATTGCATTCATGTTAAATGTGGGGAGCTTGACTGACTTAAAAATAATTCAGAAAGCTTGCTGCACCTCAGAGAAGAAAACC